AATTGCATTTTACGAAATAGTTGGCATGGGATACAGATAATCATAACAAACTGTGCAATAGTGCAGGAAGGCACTAATGGCGGCAGAAAATTCCAACCCGTCCCTGTGCTTCTATTGAGATGTTGCTAAAACTTCAAAATACGTATTTTCTTTTTTTTTCATCCCCCTTGGATGTGGCATTTCCATACCCTGAAATCAAAGAGAAGTGTCTCATAGATACCGAAAGGACACAAAAAAACCCAGAGAGCATGATCTCCATGTGACCTGAATTATCTCATTGTTCAGATGAGGGAAAACACATCTTTTCTGATTAAGGATTTGTGTGCATTTTGTTGGCTCTGGTGGGTTAATCTTGGCTGTCTGCCAGGTGCCCACTCTGCCGTGCTCTCCAACCCCCTCCTCAACAGGACATAGGGAGAAAATAAAATGAAGGAGCTCATGGGTCAAGATAAGAACAGGGAGATAACTTGCCAAGTACTGTCATATGCAAAACAGACATGACCTCAAAACCATTACTTTCATTTATTTCCACTTAATTACAGAATAACATAGTGAGACATAAAAATAAAATCTAAAAAATCTTCCTCCCACCTCCCCTTTTGGCAGGCTCAACTTTATTCTTTGCTCTTCTCTGTCCCCCTCCCCTCGTCAAGGCCTACAGGGGAATGGGGAATAGGGGTTATAGTCAGTTCATAATACCCTATCTCTGCCACTCCTTCCTCCTCATACTGTCTCCCTTCTCCACCGTGGGGTCCTTCCCATGGGAGGCAATGCTTCATGAACTTCTCCAGCATGGATCCCTTCCACAGGGTGTAGCCCTTCAGGAAAAGACTGCTTCAGCATGGGTGTGTGTCCCCCAGGACACATTCCTGCCAGAAAACCTGCTCCTGTGTGGGCTCATCTCTGTGGGCTGCAGGTCCTGCCAGTCCTCTGTGTGCTGCTTCATGGTGCATCCACATGTTCTGACTTGGGGTCCTTCATGGACTGTGGGCAGACCACCCACTTCACCATGGTCTGCAAGGAAGTCTCTCCTCTGGCACCTGGAGAACCTTCTTCCCTGCTTCACTGACCTTGTTGCATTCGGGGCTCTCATATTTTCCTCACTTCTCTCTCTCGTAGTTGCTGCACAGTGTTTTTTATTCATCCTTAAATTTTTTATCATGGAGGCACCACCAACACTGCTGGCTGGCTTAGCTTCAGCCAGCGGTGAGTCTGTTTTGGAGGTGGCTGGAACTATTTCTGTCCAACATGGGGACAGCTCTTGATCCCTTCTCTCAGAAGCTCTCACCCTTGAGGCTCACCCTGCTACCCCAAGGCCCACAGTAGTGCCCTAAGAAGTTGTTGAGTTTGAACTCCCTTTGACAGTGAAAAGGTCCCCATATGAGCTGCTGTCATTGCCCTGAACTGCACAAATGTTTCTGCAGTCTCTGTTGTGTACTGTGTTGCAGCTGTAAAAGACTCCTACTCACTCTGAAGGACAGGTACTTCTTTAACCTTAGTTTCTAAAGCCTGGCATACTAATGAGCTGTGTGTATCCTTAGGAAGGTCCTTACAAATCCTGCTGCAACTGCCTAAGCTTTCCCTTCTTTAACAAAGAACAAAGTCTTGTCCCTATTTTCAGCCTCAGTATATGCCCAAGTCTGCTATCTGGTCTCTCCTACAGGCTATTCCTGCTGCTCCCTTTCCCTGTATCTCTTCCTCCTGCCTTAGGGTGCCCTGAATCACATGTTGGCTTCTGCTCCTGCATCAGCTTGATCCCAATGAGCAAAGCAAGCTGGAAACCTCTGAGAACTTCAGCAATAGGAAGGTGTGAGAGTGTTAAATGAAGGTTTTATGACAATGAATGAGAAATGAGTCCAGCTCCATTGGATAGGTCACTGAGGGACATGCCTATGCAAGTGTGTCTCCTCTGCTCCATGCAGGTCTCTATCTGACCAACACACTGAGCCCTGCCTTGCATGGAAGGCCAGGAAGGGTGCTGGGCTGGAAATGGGGCAGAAATATAAATGTCTGCAGCCAGGTGCAAAGGTACAACCAGTATATTTCAGCAACTTTCAAGTTGCAGGGGAGGACGTTTCGCTGCATTCCCCTGAAAGCTTTCTAGATGAAGCAGATGTCAGCCTGTAAAAGCTAGGACAACTCTGCTGTGGCTGTTGGAGAGGACCTGGTTCTGCAAGTTGAAAGGGCTGTATTTTTTAAATATAAATCTTCTGTCTTGGTAAGACTTGTCTCACCAGACAAAGAGAATTTTTTTCTGGCCTCTGACTGATGATGCCTAGTCAAGTAATCTCTCTGTGGCCAGCAGTACCGGGAAGAAAGCTTTGAGATACACAAGGGACAAAAATGGAAAAAACATTCCCTGGTGCAAATTCTTTGCTTGGTTCAGAGACCAGCTCTAGGCCTCAGCTGTCGGGATGGATAAAAACATTACTGTTTTATCAAGATCTGCCACCATCCCCTTGACGATGACTTTGTTACTAGCCAAAATGGCATTTTAGGATAATAAATTGCCACTATTTCAAATATCCCCTGCCTAAAACTAATTAGAAGTCTTACGTAGGTACACTGAAAATTTAATGTTAATAATTTGTATTTGATGGAGTTCAGCCATAAAAGGCAAGGTGAGACAGGGAATTTGGTCATGTCCATTTGGTACTGTTTCAGAGCCACCAGCCTTTTTAAAATAAAACCAAATGAATGCTCTGAAAAGGCTTAAAAATACAAGGTGATTTCCAATTTCTGTTGGTTTCTGGTTTGGTTTGGTTTGGTTTTTTAATTCCAGTTCTTTTACGTGCTGTCCTGCCATCAAAGTCGTAGTCATTACATTAGAGGGTGCGAAGTATTTGAGACGTTTTTATGCTGCATAAACCCAAGACCTGATATTTAAACATAGAAAGCTTCTGTGTTTGAAGTGCAGAATGTTTTTCTCTTTCGATACTGTCTGTGAGTCTCACAATCACTTGTTATGCTGTTCGATGCTGTTATCTATTTTGGTCATAAGCTTTCACAAGCCAAGGGAGCAGATCATTTGTGAAGTTTTGGTGGTGTCTGATTCTCACATGTAGTTTCAGAGAAGCCATATGATAGTGAATGGAGGAACGTAGTGAATCTGATCTCATCGAGATCCGAAAGGGGAACCACAGGGGGTATCTTGCTGAAGTTGCTAATTTTTCTGTGTGTCCTAAGCACTAAATCTCTTCTTGGAACAAGAACTCTGACGTAAGTGAAATGTAGCCAACTGAAAGGATACCTGTGCTAACTTGAATGCAAATGGTGGACTGTAAGCAAATGCTGTCCCAAAAGAGTAACTCTTCCCGGTTTGTGCACCGTGTCTGCTCTAGATGAGAACCTGCAGGGATCAAAAACCCATCCCTGTTGTTGTTGGCAGTTATGACCCAAAAGTTATCTCTTCTGGTGCTGCAGTGCCGTGCCTGTGGTTTACAGTCACCCCGTGTTAGAGTAGTGCATCCACAATTAGTTGCTTCAAACTGCTTTGGGCTGTGTTTATCAAGGAAAAAGAACAATGAATCCCAGATTGTTCTAGTGGAAAAGACTATAATGGATTTTTTTTGCATTCTTTGAAATGATCCTTGTAGGGCTGGTTCAGGGAAGAAGGGAGGTGAAATTTTGACATTTGCAAATGGTTTGAGGAGGAAGGATTCTGCTTGATCAGGGACTGGTGGTATTTTTGGGCTGGAGGAAGCCTCTGCCAATAGGACAGACTCCATTTAAACTAAAAGTGAAACAGGCAGCTGCCACTTCACATCTAGAGAGGTGTCATCAGTGTCTGGGTGTGACATTGGGGTTTCGGGTTTGAGTGGGATGTGGGGATGGTGTTAAGTAGTTTGACTTAAAATTTAGTCTAATTTTAGGTGACTGAGTATCAGGAGTTTAGCAGAAAGTAGGGTCTAAGAATGGGTCTTTACTTTGTGAATGAATGTCTATATTTAGAGCTGAGATTATAAAACAACCTTGAGCTCTTTCCGTTTAAGAGACTGACTTAAACATAGTTAGTAGTGCAGACCTGCAAATAGTCCAAATGCAACAGCTGGAAACACTGGACAGGATGTGGGGCTACATGGGAATGAGGATGCTGGTGAAAAAGCATTCCTTAGTGGACTTATGGTAGGTCACAGCGAATAACAGGTGTGCGGTCAAAGAGAAATACACATACAGAGAAATTCTTGAGCATGCTAATTAAATAGTAACCTATTAATTTCCTCTGGAAAAGAAAATATCCTTCCCACTCAGTATGAGTCAAAAATCAGAGATGATTCTTCTCTTGTTTATAAATGCTAAGTAAGTAGGTCCTCGTGCACATCTTACAACTTCTGTAAGAATCTTTGTGAAATATGTCAAATTAATATTGATACTAGAAATGCTCCAAAAGAACTGAAAATTAAGATTAGTAATGGCCACTGTCCAAACATCAAATTCAAAGCAAAAATTGTTAAATACCTCAGATTGCATGTGTGTTCAATTACTGTAAAGACTGAGCATTCCCAAAGCGGGAAACAGCCTTACAGCAGTCTCTGTGGGTTTGGCTTGGTTCCTATGCACAGAAATCAAGGCAAGCTTTTATTAACTGGTCATACTCTTGCTCTATGTTTGCATGCTCCAGGACCTTGTGGCTTTCAGGGCAAGGATGATTGCGTTCCTTCATTTTTATTTTTTTGTTAGTGTGCAAAATGACCTTTTCATCTAACCTGCAGCTATGGATCTGTGTAGCTGTAAAAATCAGTCCAGTATCTCAAGTCAGAGAATGAGGAATGTAAGATTAACAGCCACTCCTACAAGGTTTGGGGCTTGTTATTTGCTTAACAACACACAAATATGCTGTTTGTGGAGGGATAAAACTAAAATGATCAAACTATCCTTAAGTTATCTGTCTGTGAGTCTACTAAGAGCTTGGAGTCAGTTGTTCTCTGCCCCACGTATGTCCCAGTTTCTGTAGGAAATGTAGTAGAGCTCAGACAGACCAGAATCTTCCTTTCTTACAGGATCAGATCTACCCCTAATGGATGTATTTGCTGTGCAGAAAATGGTGTCCTGAGAATGTGCCACAGCATATCAGGGTGCACACGCACACGAATGACTAGAACTACAACTAGTGTTTGCAAAGCAGTTTGCATTCTGATATTTCCTAAACTCTGAATACCTGAGCTGATGCCATGAAAATACTGTCTTCTAAAATGTTTGGTTTGTACTCCTGTGCATTTCTTTACTCATCCAAATAAGACTGACAACTAGTGAAAAACTAGTCAAGACTTTGTCTTCAGGGGTGTATTTAAATTCCTGCTCCTATTAAAGTTATCCAAATAAACTGTCAACACAAAGATTAAGATGATCATTGCTAAGGGCAGGATGGTATCCTCAACCCCCACATATTAATAGGCTGGATGACTAAGAAGGAGATGTTACTGAATTGGATTGATGGCCTCAGTCTTGCCTCACTTACGGAAGGAATTACTATAAACACTTAAAGATAAACTGTTTATGTGGACTTCCCCACCAAATAATATTAGTATATAACTGGGTTTGTGTTTTCAGTGTCAAGGCTATTGTGCAGCCATCTGAATTTCAGCACATAAATAAAAATCATATTTAAGAAACATACATATAAACACGTTGCCAGCCAGGAAAATATTTCCTTATATATATCTTCATTTTACTTATATATGTGCCCATACTGCAGGCTGGCTTATAAAACCGCTTATCGGTATATGTTCTGATTCCTGGATGTTCTCTCTTTCCTTGTCAGTAAGCCAGCTCTGTGTCAGGTTTTAGATCTGTACTTGGCCAGCTCCAGCCCAGAAGGGTTTGGATGTCCCCCCTGTAGGTGAAGCCTAAAGCACCTGGTGGCATTTTCACATTCAGAATAAACAAAATCCATAGTGCTTTGGATCAAAATCTGATGTAGGTATGGTCCCTAGGGTAGTTTTTTCCAGTGCTTTGTCAAAATGGTCTTGTCATCTCTACTGATTCTGTGCAGGTATTGTCCCATCTTCGAGGTAGGAGGTAGGATCCCACCCAAGACAGGGGATAAGCAAGACTGAGTTTTTTTGAAGTGTCATCTAATGTCTTGTACTTCTGTTGTCTGATGTAGCAGCTTCATGCAAGCACACTCTTTGTGGAACACCTCAAATGCGGGATGAGAATCAAAGCAAGGTTTCTTTTTCCTGAACATTGGTCAGGTCCTTCCAGGGAGGATGGGAACATTTTCACTGTGGTCTCCTGGGTATCTGCCACCACTCCAGGCAATATCACAACACCCCACGTACAGCACTGAGGTCCACCAGGTGGGAGAGAAACAAGATCTGGTCTTTATCCAGAGGCAGGAAAAGCCCATAGCACAGGGGTTTCAGTTCTTTGCCCCTGTCTGACTTCTAGCTTAGATTCCTGTCTAGGCAATTATCTGCAGGAGAGGGAAGGGAAGCTTGCTGTTAGCTGGCTTCTCTGGGTCTGTCTCTGGTGTCTTCATCAGTAAACTGAGCAGTTCTTCCAGTGACTCTGGCACAAAGAGGAATAGCACAGAGCAGCTCTATGGCGCAGGACTGAGATGTTAAGGTAGAAAATACACAAATTAATGTATGAATACAAAGTGAATATAAGTATGGGAGAATATAAATATGATTGTGAGTGGCAGGGCTGGAGCAGAGTGACTGCAGGTCTTTTGAAGTCTTCCAGCCACACAGAGTATCTCCAGAGGGGTGAGATGACAATTCCTTGCCAGGTTTTTATTGCAGACACAGAACAACAAAAAGAATTATTTTGAAATCAGTGTGAATGTTGCTATTAAATGTCCATCAGTCTTCAGACTGTAATGTGGGCTTCATGGAGCAGTATTTTAACAATAGAGAGATAAATTCCTGCTCTCACTGACAGGTGGCTGAATAATAAATTTTGGTAAATATTGTTCTAGATTACCAATATTTATTCCTGTGATATATTTCTTCATAACCTACTAAACTGCTACAAATTATCATCTTTTCCATGTAAAGGGAAACAGCAGATCAAAAGGCATATGTATGTTGAGAATAAAAAGAATTATAAAAGTGTCAAATTTCCAGAAAAGATTTCAATACCAGTTACACGAAAAAGCTGTTAATTCTCTAGGGTTAGAAAGAGTCTGAAATCAGGCTGTTGCTCTGCATGCTTCTCCATATCCTCTGTACTGACAACAACCCCCCCCCACCTGTTTTGCACAGCTGGTATCAGCTCAGCTGGAGAGTGGAATGGTTCCAAATTACCACAGTATTGAGATGGAAGGGCTGACAGCACAAGCCAGAGATCAGGAAGTGGTTAAGCTCCACCACAAAGGACAGCGTAAGGTCCAAGTTCTGTAAGAGCTTCTGTCAGAGCTGTATCTGTTTTCAACAGTAGGTTATCCAAGGACAAACTCCAGGTTTATGGAAGAAGTAAGCTTTGTTCACCTCATTGCCTACTGAACTGTGTAGCTATAACGATCAAGCAAGAGCTGTAAATACATGGAAAGCAAGTTCTGAGTAACTATCCCTTCTCCTGAAAAGCAAATACTGAAAAAAGGAGGATGGCAGCTGTAGTTTCCACGGTCCAAAGCTTCCCTCATGCCCAAAAGGAAAAGTATTCAGCTGTCTCTAGTTCCTCATTGTGCACTGTGAGATTTTCCAGCTTTTTCTTGAAGAATTGTTGCAAACGAGATTCATTTTTACAGATTCTCCCCTGGTTTCCACCTCCACTAGCTTTTCCATAGTTTCTTTTCAGAAAAGTATTTAAACACATACCTAAATTTCAGCACTGCTGCCCAGGCAGATACTTAAATGAATGGCCAGTTCATCAGGTACTGTGAGGTGTGTTTCTGCTTATGGTCCTAATCTGCCAAACAAAGGGGGAAAGAAAAGCCAAGAAGATGAGTTGCATTAGAGATCTGCAAAAACACAGAGTGTGAAGGGCTGCCCTGCAGCCACTCTGACTCTTTCTCAGATTAAAGACTTTAGTACTTGAAGAAAGCCACCTAACTTTATAAATGGGGGTTGCAAAGGCCTGTTGGGATTCACTGATTGATTGCTGAGGATTTGCTTCCTCATCCATTCAAAGCCCTTGTCTTGACCTGCTGCTCTGGTCTCACTCAGAGACTACCTGTCCCTTCACTTCTCTTACTAAGGGTGTAGACTTGCTGTATGTAAAGGGGATGTTTAGAAGGGTCCTTCCCTTTCATGGGAACAATTTGCAAGGACCATTTAGGAGAAGGGCTTCACATACAATTAAGCTGCTCTGCAGACATTTTAAAAATTTGAACCTAGTGGGCATCAAAAGCCAGTGGTCTTACTCACCCTTGCTGTGAAATGCAAGTTCAGGACTCAGCTTTAGATCTGGAATTTGAAAGCTGTTCCCAGCACTCAGCTCCAGCTATACAGTTATGAGTCACACTTGAAGGAATTAGGGTTTTTTCCCACAACCGGCATTTTTTTTCCAAGACCTTTGTAAATCTGCTGAGATGAGCACAGAAATGGGTAAAATTGGAGCTTGGTGTCATATTCCTCTCCCTACCACATCTTGCAACACTTCTTCCATGCATCTTAAAAGTAGTACAGGTTTTTCAAAGTTAAATCTCACAACATGGTCCACAACAGGGAACACTTAAGTGTTTACTTAAGATCGTTAATTTTTTTTTTTAATATGGTTTACTATTGCTAGTCTCAGCTTTTTGAAAATTTTGACAGAGACCTCAAATACTGTGGAAGCATCTATAAAATCTGAAGATAAACAGAAGCAAAATGCTTAGTTTCTGTTATCTTAGAATTTTTTGATACCCTGTTTTTTTGGTTGTTTTTTTTTCCCCACTTTTCCTCCAAAACCTCTCAGGAAAAGAGCAAACCCTTTAACTGAAACCTGCATTTCTGGTAGCTGGTGCTGTGGGAAAGCCACTGGCAAGGCTCCTGATTAAAGTTTTGTGGCACTGTTTGAAGAGAGGAGGCAGTGAGCTGTCACCACTGCAGGAGAGTTAGGATGAGGGAGGGGAAGGAGCACTAGGAGCAGAAGTCTTGTTCACAGAGGAGAGGGCATCAACCATCCATCTCCTGAAAATGTTTGAAGGGCTTGAATGACCGGAAACCTTCCAGCAGGAAAGATAAGTGCCAGGGAACCTACAAGGATGGAGCTGAGGGGAGGTGTTGCCTGCGACAGCAAGAAGTGAGCTTGGGGTTGCAAGATGGAACAACATCCAACTGCCACCTCTTACAGTACCATGTAACATAATACTTTCAGTGATTTTATATTAGGAGTGAGTCATACCCCTGTGACTTCCCTTCAGTAACTCTTTTGTGAATTGTTTACTTGACAAAGACAGGATGTGTTGCTTCCAAGTCTTCCTACTTCTTCAGAAATTTGCCAGAAGGGTGGGCAGCATGTTGGCCACATCAGCAGATATCTTCTGCAGCAGCATGGCCACACCATGAAGCAGTTTCTCCCAATACCAGTTGGTAGCTGAGCCCTTGTGTCATTTATCATGTGGTCCAAAAGCCAGTGTGTTTTCTGCACTGTGCATAAAGCCTGTGGTAGCAACACTCTGTGACTGTTCTGTAGGCACTGGCAGCTGAGGAGCTGCAGGATCCGTGTAGGAAAGACATGAAATCAGAATTTCTTTTTCGTGGGACAATGTTGTATGTCAAAGGAAAAAAATGCTGTTGTGTTTTTTCATCTCAAATGAGATGAAAGATGGGATTTGCCAAATCTGTACTGGAAGAGCCATTCAGCGCAAAATCTTATTTCAAGAGACCCGAGGCAGAAATGGATTTTGTTCCTGAGCTTGAGAAAGCCCAGGTATCCATACCACTGGCAAGTGTCCAAGGAGGCCAGAAGAAGTGGTGGGTGAGCACTGTGCTGGCCAGCCTGGTAACACTGCCAGAGGCAGCACCACAGTCACATTTCTGGCATTTGGAACATTTTTTATGTCCACTTCTGGGTTATGGGATGTTCTGGGACTGAATTATCATTGTCTTCAGAAAGGAAAAAGATAATTGAGAATTTAATCCGTACGTGTCACTTTATGGGTTATTTCCTCAGTGCTCTTACGGTCCACAATGAGGATGTTTGGTCTGTACCTTCCCCTGAGTCCCGTGGTCAGTTCTCATCTCTGCTTGTCTGCACTTGTGGTGATCCTCAGGAAATCACACCATCTTGCTTTGCCTTTCTTCCCTATCTCTAAACTGCTGATACTACATTCTTCGTCTCGAAGTGGTATTTTGCCTACTAGACTAAAATCTGTGAATGGCACAGGCTGTCTTTTACTATACGCAAAAGTGCTGTGGCCAGCACAGTGGACCCCTGGAATCGGGAGGTATCAAAGCACAGAGAAACCTGGATGTGGATGGTCTCTCATAAAGTAGTCGCCTCACAGAGTGAGGCAGCTTTTGGTGTGCCTGGGAGATAAGGAAGCCATGTGTGATCAAAGCCCTTCTCTAATTCGGGAGAAGAGAGCAGGAAACCCAAGTGCTGTGCCTCAGCTAGGATGTGTGACTTGTCACCACTAAGATGGTGCCTAGAGCCTCTTGGGTTGCACCATTAAATCTCCACTCAATTATGAAACTAGAGGGATAAGACCACCACAAGAACCTGTTTCAATTACCTAAAGAGGATTTAGGGGAAATATAACTGTAAAAGCAGTTGTCACTTTACAGGGACAAGAATAACAAATCACATCTCCACTGGTTCTCTTGGCAGACTGTTTCAGCAGTTTTGAACTTCTCATGCACTTATCTTTAGAGCTGAAATTAGCAGTGCAGGATTTGTGGTGCCAGACTTAATTTATTCCCTGGAAAATTTCCATTGAGACAATTAATTTTTGCCCAGAAAGCACAGGTTATGTTGTCCAGAGGAAAGACTTTTCTAAGCACTCTGCTGTGGTAGTCATCCTCCCTCCAAGACCAAGGCCAGTTTGCTTAGCTCAGGTGTCCCAAAATGCATCATCTTACTGCAATGAGCTACAGAAGTCTTGAGCACTGGAAGTTAGAACTGAAAGTAAGGATAGTTCTGCTTCCACAATAGAAGCTACTCTGTAAAATCAGCTCTTCGGGAGTTTGTTTGAAGCAACCCAAATTAAAGGTTGCCATTTACCTTTCCTCTGTGGTTGGGCTCACTGTTTGTGAACAGAGGACAGCATCATCTATTCATTTCACTGATCCAAAAGTTTCCCTTCTTTTTGAGACCTGTGCATGCCTATTCTTCAATGTGTATTTCATCTTCAGAACACAGTTCTGTGAGACAGAAAAGCTCTCAGTGCACAGAAATTTAACCATCGGAAGCAGAGAGGGTGTGGGAGCTGTGCTGGGGCAGGTTTTCAGGCACCACTAGTGGATGTGGTATCACTCACCCATTCTTAGAGGGCTGAGAGTGGCTCTGGACATGGAGTGCTCAGTGGCTTAGGCAGGAACCACTGTGTTTTGGGCAGTTCAAAACCGGCACTGCTTTGCCCCATGGCTGCCCCATCTGACTGGCCAGGTTTGGTAGTGACTTTCAGAGCAGCCTGAGAAGCCCCTGTTATGGCAGTGTCCTGAACTATGGGTGTCTGTGCAATGCCATCAGAAGTGTCTCTCTGGCTACTAAGAGGAAAGGCTGTGCTGGTATTGATGTGCTTTGTGGCACTTCTTTAATGAACTTTCAGATCATCCTAGATCATCCTGTTAGACTACAGAGAGTGTAGTGTACTGAGGTGTGGTGGTGATAGACGGCCTGTGTCTGCTTGTTGAACAGAAAAACCGCTGAATGTGTTGTGGTTACTTGTGTTCAAGTATTTATTTGTTCAAAAATCTGATTATTTCTTTTCTAGGACCACATTTTGGCTAATTTCTAAAGAGATGGAAATCTCTCCTTTAAGGGGCATTTACATCTCTGATCCTAGGGAGGCTGTGCAGTGTGCTAAGCTTCCAAGAAAGCAAAAAATCCCCAAGTCCTGTTAAAAAACCACCACTTTTTGGTTGAAGGCACATGACTAACTATTTATACAGTCAATCTCATGATGCATTCACCCTCCTTTACATCATACTTCCCATAGATTTGAAAGCACATTTAATTAAAAGGCATTACGGGACAGAGAAAGACACTTCTTTTTCAAAACCCTGACGTCTCAGTGAGAAGGCTCGCACCAAGGCTTAATGTGTTGTGGCATGGGGTGCCCTGGGTGCTGGCATCCCCCCTCCTCCCTATCCCCATGGAGCTGGGCTCTATGGAGCTCCTCTGGGTGTTGGGAAGACGACTGAGTTCGTCACTGCCCTGGGGCTGTGCAGTGCAAGCCAATCTTACTCCGTGCCTGTACTGC